ATGAAAAATGATAAACTGTTTCAAAGAAAGAAATTTTTCTTCAATTTTATATTCATTCATAATAAATGCTTTAGTAGTGTGAATCTGTCATTACTTGCATAAACAAGATTTTAGCTGTCAATTCTCATTTTTAAATTGAAAATTCAAAATATCTGATATAAATTTCGCAAGTGAGCAATTGTAAAACATTTATAAAGTTATCATAGGAAAAAATTAGAGAATTTTTCATATTTACAAAATTTGATATTTTCAAATGAAAATTCATTCACATACAGTAAAATTTTGCAAAATTTTTTTACCGAATTGCATGTTTTACCATTTTACGAACTTATTTTGCCAAAACTTAAGTTGATAAATATCTTATTGACAATTGACATATATGTATATATATATACATATACAGTGAGACCGATTCTTTGAAATTTTAGAAATCCAATAAGAGGACATTGCCATTTATTAATTCGACGGGTTCAAGGCTATTAGTTTCTATGCTTGAATGTGAATTTTAACAAAAATAATATTTTGGCTAATACTCGACGCAATTTTGAAAAAATTTTATGAATTACAAAGCCATGAAAAGATACGCTTCAATAGATTATAATAATTCATTTTAATTCAGAAATATTTCGTTCATCGTTTACAGCAGGACAGTCATTTCCGGAAGACGAAGAGGAATGCCATTTTGGATTAAAAGCATACACTAAAACACGGCAAAAAATGCATGAAATGGCTGTTAAACAAAAACTCATCACTGAACAGGTCATCGTGGCAAATTATTTTTCCACAATTAATTAATCAATTATATGTTTATAATAGAAAAAACGAAATTACTTTCAATTTTTTTTTTTTGATGAACAAATTTTGAAAATCATATACAGGAGATGGAATAACACCAATTTTTTTCTTTTTATTGAAAGAAAGACAAAAATAGAAATTTTAAAGCTAAAGAAATTGTCAGAAATTCGAAAACAAAAGTTGTCAATAGAGCAAATTTTAATTTGCGTAATCAATCCTTGTTTGTAACTCAAATTTAGAAGTGTTACTAACCAATAGAGAGAAGAAAAATGGGTAATTTACACACATCATCCAAACTATTTTAATTTTTTTAAATTATTTAATATTTTAGTCGAAAATTTAATTTTCAAACTTGTTTAGTTTAGAAACAAACTTCCTAGTATGGTTCGTTAATTTTTTTTAGGATCCGAAAGGTCATGGATTTCTCCACTTATCATCCGAGGAAAAACGGGCCTTACTTCAGGAGGGCTACAAATTGCCCACTATGTTGCCATTAACAAAATCTGAGGAGAATGCACTAAAAATTATCAGACGGAAAATTAAAAATAAGGTTAAATAACAATTTATTATTTTACAAACAATTAAAATTTTCTCATTAAATTTTATGCCAATGTTTTTTTGCTCAATATTTATTCTTTATGTTTTCTCCGTTTCACATAAACTATTAAATTAAATACTTTTTTATTTTAGTCAAACGTTCCATTTGTTAATTGTTTAAAATGAATGGAATACCTCATCTGAAACTTTTTTTCTGCGCTTAGTAATTAATTTATTATTCGGTTATTGACATTTATTGCTTGAAAATAGTTGATTTAATTGAATTTATTTCTTTTATTCCATAAAACATTTTATTCTATTTCCAGCAATGAAATTCCAATAATTTTATATTCATGAATGGAGAAGTAAATATATTTGATGCAAACTTATCATTACAGCAAAACTAATAGATTATGTACTATATAGATTATAGTATATAATCTAATAGATTATATAGCGTTAAATTGATAGATTATATGCATGGAGCTAATTTATTTATCCATTATTATTTCTCTTTAATTTTCCAACTTAATTTCTGTTATTTTGAATTTTCATTCTTTCATAATGCTTTTTTAATCAATTTCAATAAAATTGAGGCAATTTTCAGTTGTCTGCACAGGAAAGTCGTCGTAAACGAAGGGAATATATGAATGCGCTTGAAAAGAGAATTCAATATTACCGCGCTGAAAATTCAGCACTAAAATTAAAGGTTTTGTGAACTTTTAATTTTTCAAGTAATGTTCTATTCAACCTTGAAATTTTAAGCTCCAATTTGAATTAGTTTCAATTTAAAAGAGAAAGAAAAAAACGATGTGAGAAATTCATTGCTACAAATAGCCAAAGGACAGCTTGAATACTTTTGGAACACTGAACGCTAATCAGAATCAGTGATAAAACTTGACCAGTAGTTAATATTTAATACAGAATAAATTGCAGAGCATAGAAATGTCATTAGATATGTTTGCATATTAGTCAGATGACCGTTGTAGTGTGATAATGCCTTTATCAAAGTGTCACTTGTTAAATTTTCAGTTGAAAGACTTGGAACAAAGGAATCGTAGTTTGGCTATTGAATTAAGAAATTTCAAAACAACAATGGCATCAAATCACAACACGGAATATCATCCATCATGTCCAACGCCTAATGCTACAACGATTAACTGATTGACAAAAATTTTTTTTTGATTATTTAAATTGATAAAATTTAAATCAAATTTAATCAGAAAAAAACTCTTCACAAAATGCTATTATTATGTATCATATATTTGAATTGATGCAAATTATATTAGGAAAATATTTGACAAAATATTATCAAATTTTCAGTTTCAAAAGGCATTTCTTTCATTAAAATTTAATTTCCATTAAGCGATTGATTTGAAAAAAATTTGTACATCCAATTTTATTCTTACGTTAATTATTCTTTTTTTTTTAAATTTTGTCATACAGCAGGGATTATAAGATTGGCTTATGGTTGTTCACAAGGTTTTTTTTTTTTTACTTAGTTAAATTATAAATTACTGACATGCTAGCAGGGCAGTTCAATGTTTATTGCTGTTATTTATTTGCATGCACAAGTTTTATTGTTTGTTGTAAAACTAAACGTAAAATTTAATTATTAACAAAAACTTACCAATTAATTTTGAAAGTATCACAATAACATGTTTTAAATTCACATTGGATTTAATTTATATACGAAACTTTCGTTAAATAATACTCGAAATTATTTCTTAATATTCATACTACTCATGGATTTGAATAATAAAACGGAAGATCATATAACAGTTGCATTGCATTTCTCAAATACAGTTATTCAGTTTTTACTTCAAAGCATGTTCCAATACCAATAAAACATTCCACAACCTGAACATAACTATTGCTTCGTTTGTTCAATTTTCTTTTTAAAAGTTTCCACAATTTTCTAAGAATTTTTTAAAACATCCTTATCATTTGTTTCCAGTGATAAACATATTCTACTGAACTTTCGAAATTTTGAAAATTAAAAATAACAGCATTAACTGAATACTGTTATCACTTCCAAAATAATTCATTATTAATTTTTCTTATAAATTATTGTTTAGTTTTAAATTATAAATATTCGTTTCAATAACATTAGCAGTGAATGAAAGTTGATGATCGCTTTGTTATCTTTTTTTTTCACTCTTTTTCAAATTAAAATTCCATTTCACATATGTTAAAATCTGCCAAAATGTTTGTGAACATAACAATAGGTGAAAGTTGACAATCACTGTGATTAGGCGAGAGAAGTATGATTACTACTAGTTCATGATCACAGTCATTCTCACCTGTTTGCTCGGATAATTACCTGTACCAGATTTATTCATAATTCCGTGTGATGCTCTCCATAACCAGCTGTGTCACTTTTATCGACATGTTACTTCTGCTTTTCATTCTTCTCTTTACTATTTTAAGGTAAAAAATTTTAGATTAAAAAAAAAAAAATTTTTTAGTTCTTTTTTAATTTGTTTTAAATCAATTCATTGAAGATATCAGTGAAATACTTATCATGATATTATTAATAATATTTATAAATTCTATAAATTATACGGCAGGAATTGAAGATATTGTCCAAATGTGTTATCATATTTTGACTTCGAATAATTTGATTAGTATTACTCAAATTTTTGATGAATTTCTTTACTCTTTCTCACAAATTACATCAGAGGAGTTTTTTTGCTTTAAAATTTACTCATCAATAATTTAATAAATTTGTGTAATTTTTCGAAAATTTTTAAAGAATTAAGCTTTTTATGAATGCTCACTTACAAAAATTTGGAATTTGTTTTCGAAAATTTTGATTGATCAACTGAGAGAGAAAAAAAGTTGTAATAAAAAAGCCTTTTTTATTGATTGATATTTTGCTTGTTGTTGACTTTTCTATTGTTTATAAAAGAAAAAATTAGCCTCTTGTTGAAAATATGTTCAGCGGAGAGTAATTAGATAATCATATTGAAGATATTGCTTATTTGGCTAGCAAAATATCGACTAGTTAAAATTGCTAAAATGATTCTGGATGAGTAGCAAAAACCGATTAGAATATTTTTTTTTGTTGCACAATAAAATAGCAAATTTCAGGGATATTAAAAAAAAATTGAACATTTGAAAATTCAATTGTTAAAAAATTCAACAATTGCCAGTAAACAGTAAACAACCGATCAAAATGATTTATTTTTTTAATTAAAAGATAAAATTGTGAATTCCGGTATACTGATGCATTTATCAAATCACAAGAAGATTGTAAAAAAAAAATAATAGAATGATGCTAGTGAAGGTCATATCGAGTTACATCATTTTGGAATTATAAACCAGAATTTTTTATATGGATCCATTTCCGAAAAATTTATCAAAAACAACTCTTTTTAAATAAATAAATTAATTGAATCCCTCCTATTCATTTAATAAATGTATCCTTTATGTTCTCTTTTTCAAAAAATTTAGCATCAATATAGTTATTAATGAATAATAAAAATCAAAAATCGGAAATTAGCACATTTATATATCATAAATTAAAATTAGTACTAAAAGCATTCTTTTTCAATATTTGCACACTTCTGCAGTTCCGGTTATTCTCAAGCAACAAATACCAACAATTTACCATTACCTTTACTTACCGGATACGGAATGGATATGTGTCGTTATATGTCTTGTCCATATGGTCAACAATGCTTAAACGGTATGGAACAATTAACTTTTTAATTTATTTTCTGCAATTAAACTTTATAACTTTAAAACTTTTAAAATTATTTGAAAAATAAATTAACGAAGCGAACTATAAGTTGACAGAAACTTCAGTTTAGGGAATTTTGAAATGAAAAGAAAAGCTCAGATAATATATACATACCATAAAAAATTTTTCTTGCATTTCTGAAAACTTAAAATGAATGTAAGCGAGTATAATTGGATGAGTAAAGCTCCTCAAATCATAAATTTAAAATGTAATTATACATTGTTGTGCTAATGTGTTAATGTTAATATTATTGATATTAATATGTTAATACATTAATTAATATTAATGTGTTTACATATATATGTTAAGGAGTATGTTGGAGTAGCACACCTCTTCTTACAACTACGATTACAATTCCAAACAATTTCAATCCTTTTCCGGTCAATCAAAACACTTATCCCGGATATATGAATCCATTGTTAACAACAAACCCGTGGTTTATCAGTCGGTCGGGATCTATTATGAGTGAACGATGTCTGTTTTCTGATTATTTTTCTGAAAATTAAGCATAGATAATGTTGGTCGTTTAATCGAAACATTTAATATTAGAATGTTAAAAAAGAGAGTAAAGAAAAATTTCATATTAGAAAAAATTAAAGGAAAAATTCGTTCTCAAAATTTTAAAATATGCGTAATATCACACTTTACGAAATCAATATCACCAATAATTGGTAACAGGAAAAATTTCCTATTTTAAAACGATTTCTATTACTAATTATAAAATCTTAAAAGTTGTAGACACTTTTTGTTTAATATTTTATTTTGTCATTATCATTTTTTATTGCTGGTAATTCTTTTTTAATACCTTAGTAAAGCATCAGGTGATGAATTATAAAACATACTAATTAGAGGCTCATACTAATTACTATTTTCAAGCGTAAACAAAATTGGCAATCTCGAATTATTCAAATGGTATAATGTCCATTTTCGCTATAAATTCCAGTTCTAAGTGTAATAAATATTGTTACATTTGTGTAATATTTACCTATTTATGCATTTCCGTTGCAGTATGCCCAACTAAAGCTAATTGCTATGGTCAAACATGTTTGCATAGTGGATGTTTTTATAGTACAGCAACATACAATTCCGGTAGTTCTGATAATCATTTAAAAATTAGTAATCGATAATTATTTAAAAATTCAAAACTTGAAAACACTTGCACGAAAATTCTTTCATAATTGTTTCAAATAGCAATAATTGATTGAGTGAATCAGGATTTACAAATTGCGTTATTATTATTATTATTATTATTGTTATTATCATTATTATTATTATTATCATTGCTACCATTATCAATGTCATAATTGTCATTATCATTGTTATTATTATTGTTTTATTAACTAATTAATTAATTAATTAATTAATTAGTTGACCTTTAGTACGTAAATTAATAATAGAAATTTATTATTTTCATTTATGACATTTTTTTTTGCTTTCATTCCTTTTCCCTTCCTTAAATTATTCATGATAAAAGGAAATACTTTTGTTGAAAATCAGAATACAGAAATATTTTAGGGACACAACCATGCACCTTAACGGAACAATGTCCGATTGGTCAAATATGTGTCAGTGGATTTTGCTTGCCAAGTAATATCGCACAAATTGGAAATCAAAATCAACAATTGCTTATATGTACGTAATATTAGTTCTTGTTAAATACAAAAAATAAACAAACTAAAATAATTTGATTTTTGCCATTGAATCCCAAAATTACGGTAAAGAAGCCAAAAAAAAAAACTGAATAACAGTAATAATAAAATTGAACTTGATATTATGTGTTTTCGGAAACTAAACAAATATTAATAAAAATAGAATTAAAAAAAAATTTAATCATAATTTTGTTTTTCTTTTTCTAAATTTTAGCGTGTTCAACTGGTGCACCTTGTCCTGTAGGTTATTATTGCATCAATGGATTTTGTACTCGAAATGCTTTTACATCAACTTTTGGTAACTTTATTATCTTCTACTTTGTTCTCTTTTTTTTTAAATTAGTAATAGCAACATTTCAATTGCAACAAGTAAAATTAACATGACATTAAAAATTGTTTGCAATGGATCAATTTCAAATCAAATAGAGCAAATAAAGGTCAAAGGTGTTATGTGCTCTCTTAAAGGCATTTTTACTATCAGTTATTAAAATTTTCCATTTCCTTTACAAATACTTATTCTTCTCAAGCAATATGGAACTTGCAATATACTTTAAATCATATTGACATTTATATTTTCAATTTCATTATCATGGATACAACCAATTAATTTAAAAGTTTTATTTTATTAAAAAAATTTTTATTCCAATTATTATCAAACATTTGAGGAAAATATTTTGAGCTAAATTTTACAATAAAAGTTTTATATAATTTTGGACTTCTACAAAACTTCGCTTTCTTCTCTAACACTTTTTTGTACCCTTTTTATTCAGTTGAATGCAGCTAAACTGAAATACTTCAACTAAATTATAAATAGATTTCAAATTTACAGCATGCTCACATGGCCAATGTCCATCGGGAATGATATGCTACATGGGAAGATGTACAAGTTCTAGCTTCTTTGGGAAATGATCAAAGTATGATGTGAAATTTGATTAGTTGTAAATATTGTCATCCAAGAATAATTCAATTCTTACATTAATAAATTGCATCTCTAATTGTTGTCGTTGTTATGAGCTTCAAAAAGAATGTACTTTGCTCAAAATTAAACTAAGGAATATTGCAATTAAAATTTTAACTTAAAATTTGATTAAAATAAAAGACGGAATAAAAAATTTGACAAATTATTTCAATATCCACAAATATTCCCTATCATTTTGTTTTGGAAGCGAATTTGAATAAGAATTTTCAGCACTCTGCAGGACTTTCGTAGATGGCATATCCGATTTCATCTGTGACTTTGATGCTTTTCCCATATATGCTTCCGGAGAAATAGCCGGACTGCGTAATGGAACTACCCCTGAAATGAAAAAAAAAAGTTCGACGTTTAAATTGCAGGCATTATTTTAAAAACAAACTTACCAGCAAATATCAAAATACGGATGGAACTTGCATTTGGAATGAGTAGACGAAAGCAAACCTGGACAGTGAGAACAGCTACCAGGCAATCCAGGTTCACCTGGCAGTCCTGGTGGACCTGGTAGTCCAGGATCTCCTGGAGTTCCTCTCTCCCCTACTGAACCACGTATACCTTGATTTCCGGGTTGACCTGCTTTTCCATCATGTCCTGCAAAATTGGCTTTACAGAAAAAATCATAATTTTTGGTCGATGTAATATGGTTAACTGAGAAAAGATCATGTCAGAAGGCGAAATTTATGCAGATACTCAAATAAAACAAATTTTTACTGTTACCTTTGATACCTGGTGCACCGCGTGGACCGATACTTCCTGGTGGACCTGCTGGTCCCGGTGGTGCTCCATTTAATACTCTACCACGATCACCCGGTGGTCCTTTTGGTCCAGGATTTCCTGGTTCTCCGCGAAGTCCTGGTGGTCCTGGCGGTCCAGGTCGACTTGGCTCTCCAGCTTTCCCTGCCTTTCCAGGTAGTCCAGGTTTGCCACGTTCTCCCTTTGGTCCAGGGAAACCAGGTGGTCCAGGTGGACCTGGTGGACACTGAAATTTTGATTGTAACCAATTGGAATTTCTCGAAATAATATAGCTTTTAAATTATTTCAAAATGTCTTACTAAAATATGCTAAATATTAAAATATCAATGTTGAATACACTTGAATGAATCAAACAGAAATGTTACAGCTGCAAAACGATAACAAAAATCAACTGACTTTTTGGCAACTATTTGAGCCCGGTGGCGGTGCAGGAAGATATACACCGTTACGTCCATTGGCTCCATTTTTACCTGGCTCGCCTGGTTTCCCTATTAGTTCAACATTTATTTAAATGCTGAATGAAACAAAAACAAGATACAATTTCATCCTATCAACTCAAATTAGCAAAAATTTTAGACGAAATTATTTATGCTTTTTAAGCCTTCTGCAATATTTTAATAATTCAATAAATGCTTGAATCAAAAATTTTAAAATACTAATGTATTTAAAATATAATTGATTGTGAAAAGTACCTGGTGTGCCATCTTTTCCGGGTGCTCCTCGAGCTCCTGGCAATCCTTGTGAACAAGCACAGCATGCATCAGGTGGAAAACTACCAGTAAATGGTAAGTTATAATTGTCAGAACGAGATTTGCGAACTTTATTTCCCACCAAAGCTATTTGTTTCCAAATATCGCCTGACTGAGCCTTAAATTATCACGAAAGAAAATGAGTTGACATGATAAAATTAGCAAAAAAAACCCACACACAATTTAAAGATTGCTTCTTCATCGACAATTTATCAACACAACAAACTGTCTCCACTTTTTGCTCAAATGAAAAGTTACTTTTTGCTCAAATGAAAAGCATACAAAATGAATCGTTATCATAATCTCTCGTCACTACCGATCACTGATATCACAATTATTTTGTTTTTATCTTTTATATTTTTCATCATCATTTGACTCCTTTTTTATTCCCTTTTATTAATTTCTATTTGAATTACAATGAATTTTATTTTTCTTTTTTTTTACTTTCATTCACTCTTATCATTGTACACCGAATATATCTGCACTTTTTCTCAATCCCTAACAGAGCTGTATTATAATTTAAGCAGTCTTTGCCAACTTTCATAATACAATGCTATTTTCTATTCCAAATTTTGGATCATTTAAATTTTAATTCAATTTTTGCATTCCGTAAAGTAATAATTTATTTTGAAATTTATTTTTCTGGATTGGAAAGTACACATTCTACCATATACAATATAAATTACGAAAATTTTTTCAATCTTTTTTCTACGAAATATCATTCTGACTGTTCCATTAATTAAATAAATGTAGTAGATTTAGTCCACACACCTTACATAATTCAATCTGCGAAAGCATGGATGATATTACTTCCTGACTACGGAAATGCATCATTGGTAGCAAGACTGCGACACTTAAGACACAAATCGCCGAACAAGCTGTTGCTATCACCACCGCTTTCCGATTTGCCAATATGCTCATCCCGAATTAATGACGGAATGAAGGTTTGCATAAATTAATAATTATAAAATTTAATAAATTCGCAAATTTCAATTCTATGACAATAGGCAATAAACAAAATTTAATTTGTAGTAGGTAACAAATTGAAACAACTTTCATTTAATTCCAATAAAAATTAATACCAATATATGAAAATTACTGTAATTAGTTCCAGCATAATTAACAATTTATTTTATTTTTTATCTACAATTAACTTTTCATTATTATAAAATCAAATAAATGTTTGGAAAATTTCTTCTCTTTTGTTTTGGCAAAATTATTATCAAAATTATTATCCTCTGCCTTGGTCTATTTTTAGATTAATAATTCTATTAATAAACTTATTAGTGGAGGCATCCAAATCTTAATTACAACAAAGTAAATTATCCTTACTTTCTTATCGAAATTCATTATATTATGAATACCTTTGAGAATATTACAACAATTATTAATTTTTTTTTAAATTTTTATCAAATGTCAGCGTACTATGAAGATTATTAAAACATTAATCAGAAACCATATTGTATGGAAAGTATAATGTTAAATATTATTTATGTTAAATTACATACTATCCTTAATTTATCTTATGTTATTTTAAACAAATTTCAAAAAAATGAAACGAATAAGAAAGAGAAAAAAAAAGGAAATGAGGAGAAATAATTTTGAACACACTGAATGGATTGCGATTGTACAGAAAAATGATGTCAATAACCTTTATTTGCTCAGTTTTTGTTGCTCGTTAATTACATTTTTTTTTTTGAAAAAAATTTTCATGTCATTTCTGACAATTGATTTTCCAATTTGTAATATTGAAATGATAACGGATCATTAACTAGACTACATATTGTTTTTTTTTTTGAAAAATTTGAAGTAATCATTTATCCATGACATAATCTGGTAAACCAGAAGAAGAAAGAAAAAAAAGCTGACGTGATTCTAAAAGTTTTAAAGTTACGTACGTAGGAAAGAAACGTGAAATAAATTCAAATGAAAATCGCAGCCAATATGAATGGGAAACTATTTGAAAATACTTATTCGGTAACCGCGGCTCGATACTAATCTACTGAAAACAGTTCACAAAATATGCGATCAATTCATTTATTTACATTTACTAGCTAAATTATTGACGAAATCATCAATTGTAATTAATTAAAATTAAATATAATAATCGTTGACTAGAAATGATTAATAACGTAATGTTAATACTTCTCAGCTCTTCTTTTCTTCTTTATGTATTTCTCTTTTTTCATTTATCTCAAATTCATTTCATCTTTTTCTAGTTTCAATTTAAATTTGTGATTAGACAGAAGTAGTAAAAAATTGATTATTTAATCATGCAGAATAAATATAAGCATCATATCAAATTGTCAAATATTTATTTGATTCATTTAAAAAAAAGAAATAATTATATTTTTGCAGGCAATTTATTGTACTCATACAAGTAATATTAGCATAATTTTTAGCAACACAATACAGTTGTGCTTATTTTAATTAGATAAAACAATTTGTTAACTCAATTATCATATTTCACCTTGAAAATATGCACAATTTTCTTTGAGCATATAAGAAATAAGTGCCACTGTTGGTAATTGTTCATCGGAAAAACTTTCAAAACGTCGAAAATTTTTATCATACTCATTCGATGTGACAATTCCGTCTTTTATCAATTTTTCCATGACCTAAATTGATTCTTCTAAAAATTGAAGCATCAATTTTAATGCTTGGAAATTAGAATGATGTAATATTAAAAGCACAGATTATACCAACGTATGACTAATTGAATGTCTGAGATTCATTGAGGTAAGTCGAGATTAATTGCACAGTACTGAAGCTATCTCAATGATTAAATTAAGAATAACACGAATAATACGCTATCATCGCACGGATACTGCACAAACACAATTATAATTTGCAATGAACCTTTTCGTTTTATGATTAATAGGAATTTGAAATTCATGAAATTTTCATACCTTTTTAATTAATTCCCTGCTCATCACCAATTCTCCAACGGCGGTCATTAAATAATTTGCAAATTTTTTTGGATTATTTTCCATTTGATCACGATTTTCTGCCAACCAATCGAATGCTTCCTGAAAAAAAAAAACTTCCCTACATTCAAATTACATTTAGAAAAAACTATTTTCTGCAGGCAACGATAAAAAAAAATCTCGAAACTTTTTGCAATTATACCGCAGAGCAAAATAGTTATCTCAAATTTGCAGAAGTTCTCGGAATTTACCTTCCCTTATACTGTAAATAATAACTCACCCTACATTGTTGCCGAATATTGGTACGTTCCATTACTGAACCAATTCGAAGAATTTCATTAATATTCACTTGAGCCTTACTATTCCTTGATTTAGATTTAACCATCTCTCTAGCAATTATTTAAAGTAAATTAATTTATATGAAGTTGAAAAGAAGGGAAAGAAATAAGGACCATAAATTATCACGGAAAATCATAACCACAAAATACGACCACAACCATTTCAATGATCGATAAAATTATCAATGAATGATATACAAATACTCTTATATTATGTTTTAAGTTGCAACGACATAACTATTAGAAAAAAAAATAAAAATAAAAGTTGAAGCATTAATAATTTAAAATAGAAATTAGAAGGTGCTCCATATTTTACTATTTGTTTGATAGAAATCCTCAAATATATTACAATATATTTAAATATAA